CATACCACGGCCAAGCCCTGCAAGCACCTAGTGTAAAATGCCATTTTCAATAGATCGGAAACAACCGAGCCGCTTTTCCCCGAACGCGGAAACTGACATGCAAAGAGCCCATTTTTTTCACCCTGTAAAACCCTAAGGGTGACACTTAACGTATTTTTCGGACTATAAGGCGCCCTCTCAATTATGACGTCCATTTCTGTATTTAACCCAAACATAAGGCACACCGGATTATAAGACCCATGCCAAAACATACGGTCAACAAAAGAAAAAAAAGTAACGAAAACAAAACATTAAGTTAAGTTTAACTTTATTCTACTATGCAACAATACACTCACATTATTTTTTATTCTTCTTCCACAAATCCATCAAAGTCCTCCTCTTTTGTATCTGAATTGAACAGCTGGGCAATTTCGCCATCAAACATGCCAGGTTCCCTCTCATCATTGTTGGAGTCAGACTCGTTGCCAGGTGGCTGTTCAGCAATGATGCCGGCTTTCGCGAAAACTCGGACAACAGTTAAGGCAGATACATTAGCCCAAGGATCCACAATCCATTCATATATGGTGGCGTAACTCGCCCGGCGCTGCCTCCCCGTCTTAGTAAACGTGTGTTCGCAGTCTGTCATCCATCACTCCCACGCCGCTCGCAACTTCTTTTTGAATGCCCCGTTTACACCAATGTCCAACGGTTGGAGTTCTTTTGTTAATCCTCCCGGAATGACGGCTAGCTCTGAATTAGTTTGCTTCACTTCCTTTTTCACAGTAGCAGTGAGATGGGCACGCAAAGAGTCGCAGATGAACGGGGACGGTGATGCGTGGTGTTTGTTATTCTGCAATAGCCAGCCACGCCCTAACCTCACCACCGACTGACTACTGACCAGCTCTCTGTCTAACAGGTCCGGAAAATCCCTGAAACCCGGGTCTTACCCTTTCCTAGGTTTACTAGAGAATTTCTGTTTAAACTGGCGGCGGAGAAAATTCGTCTAGCTCTAACTACCTTCAGATCCAGAAGT